TTTCCATCCAACCAAAAAAATAAATAAAATATCATTCATGATAATAAATAAAGAGAAAAAAGAAATACCTTCAAGGTCTAACTGCAAGACCAGCGACAAATAGAAAGCATGGAAGTGAACAACGTAGAAGCAGTGGTAATGTGATACGGAAGCACTGACTTCACACAGTCGCTCAACTCCGCGACTGACTTCTTGTAGTGATGAAAACAAACTTTCATTGTATGCCTAGCCTTTTCATCTTTTCCTTCTTTTCTTCACCATCTCCACCCCTGCTTATGCCTCTCTCTTTTTAGCTCCCTCCTTTTACATTCAGACTCCCTTTTTTCAGTTCTTTTCTCTCTATTTCGTCTACATATGAGTACTATCTCTGTGCTCTGTTTTTTTTTTTTTTTTTTTTTTTGCAACATGCATCTCTCCCTTGGTACCAGCTTTAACTCGGTTCTCAGATTTAACTCTCCCTCTAAACTTCAAAGCAAAATGACAAGTCCTCCTCTAGATCTTTGCATGAGAGATCCCTTTATTGTTGAAGCTCAGGGTCTTCCTCTTACCGTGCACGTTTGCTGCATTTCTACTCTCTAGATCTATTTGTGCGTCTACTCTCATGTGTCTCTTACTTTCTTCTGCTTTCCTTCTTTGCATCTGATCCTGGTGTTTATGCGCTCCTCTGCCCTTTAAAACGTGCATGTGTTTTTTTAGACGTGCATATTACTCTCTCTCTCTCTCTCTCTCTCTCTCTCTCTCTCTCTTTTCTACCTTTTCGTCTATGCTGTCTGCACTTGTGAAGCTTGCTTTTTGCATATGGCTATCTATTCTCTACTTCTTTTCTCTGGTCTGTTGTTATACATGACTGGCATTTCTCTTCTCTTTGCTTCCTTTGCTTCTGGCTTTTTCTCTCTTTCCAATCTGTTTCATGCCTACTCCATGTTTATTCATACGCAAGTCTGCTCTCCTCTGTTCTTTTTCTTGTTTGTTTGACTATTCTCTCTCTCGTTTTCCTTCTTTGCATATGTTTTGTGTCTGCTGTGTTTTTGTTTCTAAAGCCAGGCTTATTATTATATATGTTATGTTAGATTTTTAAACTTGCTGGTAATTAATAAATTAAATTATATATTGTTCAAACTCATGCAATATATGTCTTTGAGCTTATTATAAGATCTTAATTGAATCAAAGGAATGAAGCATGTTGGAGGAGATATGTTCGAAAGTGTTCCACAAGGCGATGCTATAATGATCAAGGTTAGTTTAACACAATAATTAATTTCATATAGTAACTAAGAAAAAATTAATCTCCATATCCTTTTAATTTTCGTCAATTTTAAATTTGTTCCCTGCTATAATTTATTTTGTTTTAAATATGTCAATACCTGAAAGTTAAAATTATTAATAAATTATTAAATTTTTTTAAAATAAAAGTACTTTTCAAAATGATAAAAAAATTAATTTAATATTTTTTGTCAAAAAGAAAAAAATTGATTTAAAACAATTTTTTCATTTTTATTCATTTTTTATAAAAATTTATATTTATAAAAATTATTCAAAAGAAATAACCTAATTACATAAGTTTTGAATTATAAAAATTTCGTAATTTATTCTATAGCTGTATAATTTTAATTAAAATATAGAAATTGTTAATTTACTTTTAAAAAAATAAAAAATTCAATGATTTTAACCTTTAAGGGTTAACATATTCAATAAATCAAACTGTAAAGGCTTGATTAAAATAAAACAAAATACAAGGATGATCTAAATTAAAATTGAGGAAAACCTTATTCAAGGGCCTGTCATATATAGTTTTCCCTAGTAATAACTATTCTAGGGTTTGATAACGGTAGACCATATATGTTTAATTAATTTCTTGCAGGCTGTAACTCATAACTGGGAAGATGAAAACTGCGTCCAAATTCTAAGGAACTGTCATATTTCACTCAAAAATGATGGGAAGCTCATTATTATTGACCTGATAAAACCAGAAATACCAAATGCAAGCATTGGCCATAAGTATGTTTCATGTCTTGACATCCTCATGTTCTTGCAAGCTGGCGGGAAGGAAAGAACTGAGAAAGAATTTGAAGCTCTTTGCAAAGCTTCTGGATTTTCTAGCTTTTGCATTGCAGCTTATGATGCATCAATGAATCTGGGAGTCATTGAGTTTTATAAGTAAACTTGATTGTGGGTATATGCTTTTGCATTGAGTCTAAAGCAAGTCACACCATACACATGTATGATTTATGAATAATGCGACTTGCTTTAAATTTTATATTATATATAGATTGATTAAAAAGGTTATGTAATATTTCATGTCAATAGAATAAATTATATGAATAAGGAAATGAAAATATATATGCAGTGGATGTCTTCGTTTTGTAATGTTTTGATATGATGAAAAATAAATAAAATAGCCTGATTGGCAGGTAGGAGCAGGACTAGCTGGGGGCTACACCGGCTAGTTTTAAAATTTTTTCAGTATTATATGAATGTTGTATATTTTAGATCTTTTAAAATTATGCAAGTTTTTTTCATAGTGTATATGCTTTTTTTAATTTCGGTTTCTTCCATAATTAAATCCTAGTTTTGCCCAACCAACTAACAACTATGGTTAGGTTAGGTGAAAGAGTTGATTTTTATTTGTTGTTAAAAGTTCAAATTTAATTTTGAAGATAAAACATATACTATATTCAACACATGGATTAAAACTAGGAGGCAAATATAAGGAAATTAGTAGTCTCAAGTCTTAGAGGTCCTCCTTTCCCAGCTGCTAGACTCTTCACCTATAAATATTAATAAACAATGGGTAAGACGATGTCTCAATAACTAACCAACAAATAATTTAAAATAGTATTCAATATTACAAGTAGTAAATTGGAGAACAAAGTTAATTAACAATAATAATCAAATTAAATATGTATGAGAATTCACTGACCTCCCTTATCCACGGTGTCATATCACGTGCGTGGGCAATGGCCTTATCCATTTTCAGCACATGGCCAATATCCCTATCGAGCTCATTCTCCACCACTCATGAGTCTTACAGACCGTATTGGCCCATATCAAAACATGGTCGTTTAAGTTTTAAAAAACACATTTTTTCTTTATTTTTTTAGGATCAGGAATAGTTTTTTGTTTTAACAGCAAAGTCTACTCTTCCTCAAGTTATTAAAGGAAAAGTATACCCTTCTCAACTGAAGATTAATCTTCCAACATTTTTCTTAAAAGACCAAGCTAAGGCCTCACCAGTACAACTTACATTAAATTAAACTAGGTTGCTAAAACTTCTAAATATTTCAACTCATCAGAAGAAGCACGTTTCTTTGCTATATGCCATCAAAATTAATGGAGTAAGTTAGGACGCATGAATCTTTCCACTCAAGTTCTGCCAATTACAAAAGCTAGCAACAAAGTTTGTTTTTCTTTAAATGATAAAAAAAAAAAAAAAGAGTGTGAGTGTGTGTGTGACGATAACAAATTACTGGTTTAGACGATTGTTTATAATTTTACTGATCACGAAAGGAAATGTTAGGTTCAATACGAATGCGCTCTAAAAAGGAAAAAGGAAGAGCGATCAGGATTAATGATTTTAATATAATTTTCATATTCTGAAGATTACTGAGTCAGGGGTAAACCTTTTGTGTGGAATGAATAAATAGAGTTGGGAATGCAGACTAAACAGATTGCCTATTTAAGCCCATGTTTTTAGAACTGAGTTTGAAAAATTTTAATATAATTGTGCTTCTAAGCTTGGCTCGTTTAAATCATGTAAAAAGAGATCAAACTTGGGCAGCTCATTTAAACCTTTTTTGGTTTTACCCATAAAAATAAGATATTTCTAATTTTTAAATTAAATTCAGACTTTAGAATATTTGTTTATTCTTTAAAATTATAATTTATATTACTTACTTTTAATTTTTGAACTTTAAAATTTGTATCTTTGGAAAAGAATATGTAATATTATAATGTAAAAAATTAAATTTTCAAAAATAAAAAAAGGCTCACAAACTTGACCCTAAACCAGATCAAGAAAAACTGGATCTGAACTAATGATTAATTTTGAGCTAAACGAGCTTTTGGGCCCATATGATTAGCCCATATAGGATTGGTTATGTTTTCAATTTTATGTTTTTAAAAACCATTATGTAAATCAAATTTTAAAAATTATTTTTCAAAACAAAACAAAATAAAAATATATTTGATTATCTTAATTCAAAAATAATTTTAGAGTTCAAAAATAGTTGATAATAATTACTAATAATTAATTGTGATGGCCTAGATAGTGGTTGGCCAAAATTAAAGCTAATTTACAGTAGTCAAATGTAGTGCTCTTTAAAATAAATAAATAAAAACAGTTCTAAGATGTTTCTAATTTTTTAATGATTTTTTATTTTTTAAAAACAAAAAGTAGTCTTTGACAAAAAGAATCAGACAGGCCTTGATAACTCTAGAAGATCATTTAGAAAAACTGAACATCATAATTTTGAAATATGAAAGCTCAGTGGAAAAACATTTGGAAGTGAAAATCATATACACTCTATCAATTAAACCATTCCTTTATTAAACACTTGATAATTAAACATCTCCTTCTTATTGATAGATAGCGATGCTACCGTTTACTCTCTTCATGACGTGCAAGCAATAAAGAATCATAAATTATACAATTTCTCAAAACTCGATTGCTTTCTCAAATCTTTTGTTTTTAATTCAAAGCAATTTCCACCGATGAATGCCTTGATATTGCTACTATTTATTAAATATCTCAAGATTTCAATTGTCAATGTTGAAATCTATACTATATTTTTAATAAATTTATAAGTCGTACGTATGTATACTTTTCATAGCATATGAATGTTTGTGTGACTTGATATACAGCAGACTCTTTGCAATGCAGGGTTCCACCATTTACACTATAAATCCCACCATAACCAGACCTAGAAAATCAGGTTGTGAGAGCTTTTAGGTTAAATTTGAGCTCATAGTATAGAGAGTCTACAATAAATAAGCTAGCAAGTATGAGTACCGTCAACATTGAGAATCATGAAGGTGATGATGCTAATTCCTCGTTCAATCCTATGATGCTATCAGCGTATCAGATTTTCCTTGCAGTGTTAAATGCTGCTGTTGAGCTCAACTTGTTTGAGATCATTGGTAAGGGAAACCCTGAGGGCATGTCACCCTCTGAAATTGCTATCAAGCTTCCAAATCCACATGCCAGCATGGCTTGGAGGCTCGACCGAATGTTGTTTTTGCTTGCTAATTATTCTCTTCTAACATGTTCTTCCAACAAACTTTATCAATATGGTGGGATTGAGAGGCTTTATGGTCTATCTCTTGCTAGTAAATACTTAATCCCCAATAAGGATGGAGCCTCTTGTATTAGCTTATGTTGGCATCCCACTTATGTCGAAATTTGGCAACCACTTTGTGCTTTGATTCCATTCATAATATTTAACAATACTCATTATTTTATGTTGATCATTTTTAACTCATCTTTTACATTAATGACAGGCAAAACTTCAAACAAGTGATTCTTGATCAGGAAGAGGACTTATTCATGAAAGTTCATGGGATGTCTTATTTTGAATATATGGAAATGGATCCGACAGTCAAAACTATTTTCCATCAGGCAATGGCAGATATAGCAATTATTGAAATGAAGAAAGTACTTGAGACATACAAAGGATTTGAGGGGATGTCAACACTTGTTGTAGCTGGTGGCATTGGCCAAAGCCTCAAAATGGTCACCTTCAAGTATCCTTCAATTTAGGGCCTTAACTATGACTTGTCACAAGTGATACAACATGGCCTATCCCATCCAGGTGAATGAAATTAATTTGATATGGGAAAAAGGACAAAGGGCACATAGCCCAAAAGGAAAGTAATTTATTTGTGACCTTACTATGAAATTTGATTATTTTTTTCCTCTCTTTAAAATTTGATGCCACTTCAATTAATCTTACAGATATTATATAACTTTCAAAAGCCATATGCAATATTTTCCTTCGAGCTAATAAGATCTTTCTTTGGATAATTATAGGAATGACACATGTTGGAGGAGATATGTTCAAAAGTGTCCCACAAGGCGATGCTATAATGATTAAAGTTAGTTTAACGCTCTAAATATAATAACTCATCATAATTCTTAGGGTCTTGTAATTGTAAGTTGCTATATGATTTCTTGCAGAATACAATTCATAGCTGGAGAGATGAAGACTGTATACATATATTAAAGAATTGTCATAGATCTCTCAAAAAAGATGGGAAGCTTATTATAATTGACTTGATAATGCCGGAAATGCCAAATGCAAGTGATGGCCACAAGTATGTTTGAGTCCTTGACAACCTCATGTTTATGAAAGCTGGTGGAAAGGAAAGAACTGAGAAAGAATTTGAAGCTCTTCGTAAATCTTCTGGGTTTTCTAGCTATTTTATTGCAGCTCGTGTTGCCTCAACAATTTTGGGAGTCATTGAGTTATATAAATAAACTAGATTTGTGAGAATTTTCTTTGCATAAGGTCTAAAGTAAGCATCAATGCTCATACGCTTATGTCATCTATGAATAACTTGATTTTCTGTAAACTTTATATGATATATAGATTGAATAAAAAGATTATGTAACATTCTAAAAGAGAATAAACTATATAATTTTATGCAACCTAAAAATTAGTTATTTTAATTAATTCTCCCTTCTAATTATGAATTTAATTATGAACTTTAATTAAATTTTATTATGTCACATGTTATTTAATTAAATTATATGATTTATGTGACATAAGTGGCATGTGACTTGTATATCAATTGGACAAATGAAGTAAACACTCCATGAGGCCAAATGTAACCTCTTTCCATATCTGCTCGATATAGGAGAAGGTTGATAGAATTACCACCTAAACACAACAATCAATAATCATAGAATTTATTTGAAAAGTTTTGGCTAAAGACTTATTTTGCAAAATTATCAAAAATTATAATACATTTGTGTAATACATAGCGGAAGCAATTCATGTGAATTCACGTCACCAATTGGATGCATTTAAAATCTTAAAAAAAAATCAAGCTGAAAAATGGGCCGTGTGCCATGATGTTCAGTACGTGCACTGCAACATGTGGCATAGAGCCACACGCCCAACTTTCTGTGTCTTGCGCCACAGCATATGACACCATGTGCCATAGTATGCCTGTCTGAAATTCTGCTATCATTTTGTCAACAAAATGGTGAATTTTCTAGCATGCTCTATTTTCACACACGACGTCCGATCGGAGTGATTTAAGCACTCACACGAAACTTATCTCATAAGCTAGCTATTGAGATAGGTTTGTATATGATCTAATAGTCTGATCAAAATTTGGACACCTGAGTGCAAAAAGTGACTTTTTTTGAAAATTGTGCATACCCAAGCGCTCAAATTGATCCTTTTCCCTCATTAGAGCACACAAGGCATTGAATCAAGTTCAAAACGATCTACTACACCCGATTAACCATAATATATCACACACACACATCAAAATTTGACCCCTTAATGGCTAAGTTTCATATTTTCTAACTTTCCACAATCTAACACATTTTGACTTATCTTGGCCATTTTATCCACATATTTACATAGAATCTTATCTATAACACATTCACAATATAATCTTAGCCCTAAATTACTCATTTCCTCATAATTTCACACATGGGCTTAAAATTTACCAAAAAAACAACATTCTCAACTCACACACATTCAAATCTTTAGCCCCCAATTCACTTTATCACATACATACACAAATGGGCTAAGATTTCACAGAATCACTATTCAAATCATGCATGCAGTCCTATGGCAACTCATATTTACAAATATGCCCAAGTGTTTAGTTCTTCACACAAACTCAAAAAAGTCTCACAAACATGGCACCACATGCTGGTCTAGATTCTCTTCCCTTACCCTTATTGCTGCTCTGTCTTATAAAAATGCAATCATAGGGATGATATAAAAATTTTAGTAACAAAATAACTCACTTCTATTGACTATCACATGCAAATATATGAAAGTAAAGCATAGTATACCATTTAATATAACATAATCACATATTCCATTTCAATACACAACCATAAGTGTCAATTCATTTCTTTTACCACTTTTATTACCTCTTTTCAGCACTTTCACACATATGCAACATATTGCATCATATAGCATGATCACTACCGACCGAACCTCTAAATCACCCTAATGGAAACTATAGGCTCACCTTAGATCAATGTACACTCTCATTAGTTATGAGCTCATCTTTAATAGTAGAATCTAGTTAAAGGTGTTTTATCTCACTTTCAAACTATGGTTTCCCCTAATACATACAATGAGGTGTTGTTAACTCCAACATCATATCACACAAACACTAAGGAGTTCGATATCTCCAACACCGCACCTCAATAGGCACTAAGGAGATCTTCTCCAACACTACACCTTATAAGGTACTAAGGAGGTATAATTCTCCAACACTGCACCCCGTCAAGTACTAAGAAGAATATGCTATATGGTCTTATCACTACCTCTCCACTCGGGTAAACTCCCACCCCTATTATCATGCTTTCTGAACCATATAAGTTCCAAATCACCACTTTACTCATATATATATATATATACACGTACATTTTCACAACAAATTACAAAAATTTCATTATCTGTTTAACCAAAATCTCTTTTATAAAATAAACATTCAATGTTACAAAAAATGCTCAATTTAAAACTATTTCATGCATTATATAGCAAACTCACACACAGTTATAACAAATAATTAACCAAAGGAAGTTATTCAATTACGTCAACCGTTCTATCACTACAAACATTACCCGTGGATTTCAACTATCACAATAGCTTATTGCAAGCTTCCTTTCTCAACTCATGCATTCAGTATGTCAATCTAGACACATTTGGCGCATTTTAATCATTTGGTCTATTTTGAACAAAAACACATATTTACTACTTATGGCTATATTTAGCTGTAAATTCTTTTCCATTTACCCATCTTATGTCCATTACTATCCAATTACTACTTTACATTACTTTAACCGGTCTCATTTCACTCAAATCAAATTTCCACCCTATTCTCTCTCTAACTTAGGGCTAAATTGAGCCTACAAGTTCAAAACTCTACTGCTCAGCTTTAAACCAGTCACAAAGCTCTAATTTAACTCCTGAGAACCTTTTTATTACTATTGGGCAAGAATCAAACCCATCAAACTTTATCAATTTTATTTTTCTATAACTTATATTTAAAGAAATTTATGTAGAATGGAAGGTAAGGATTATGTACAGCTTACCTGCTAAGTTAACGATAAGAAGCACCTTGTAATGACTTGAAATAGCTTGCTCTAGCACTTCAACTCTTCTTCTCTTCTCCTTTCATGCATTTCTGATTTCTACCTTTTAAAAATCACTTAGATTTCATGACTTAAGTGGTCATTTTCTATTCCATACACCACAACATATGCAGCACAAGCCATGGGGTGTGGCACGGTGAGATTAATTCTCACCATGCATACTTCCTTCGATTTAAAACATAATTCTCTCACCCATACCTACTCATATAACATCCTAATGGGTCAAATCATCACATAACCATCCAAATCTCTAATCCCATATAAGTTAATCGCTAATCACGGGATTAAGAAATTTAGAATGTTACATCAAAGTTAATGGTTTGCACGTGAATTAGGCTTTATTTGGGGATTAAATCAGCTTAAAAATGTGAATGATAAATGAGAAATTAAACACATATTAGAATCATCTACAAATCAATAAGAGGATGCCACCTTACAAGTATGACAAGGCTCCCATTTTCCTTTTTATTTTATTTTTTTATTTTTTAATTGTGATTAGCTAAAGGGGAAAACTAGGAGCATGTCCATTCTCACCTAAATTTAGATTCACACCACCTCATTTCACTATCTCTTCCATTCTATCTATAGTTTATCTTGTTCTTATTTTATCCACCTTCTCTCTACTTTCTTCATTTTTTCAGCACCCATACCTCCACTTCTAGTCACAAAACACAGTGAAACATACACCATTCTCCATATTTCTTCTTTCTCATCCTATCCCTTCCATTCTCATAAGGATTTAAGCTCAATTTCTTTATCCAAGCTTCCATAAATTTTAGACAAGAGGTGCTTCTCTTAGGGTTCTTGAAGATGAAGATGAAGATGGTTGGGTAAGTTTCTTGGTAGATTCCTAGAGACATAAAGATGGAGGATGAATCTAGAGCTTCAATTGGCTAAGTTTCTTTTGTTTCCTATTCTCTTCTCTTTTTACTAGATGATTAGATGTCTTAGTCAAAAGTTTGATCATCTTGGCTTGTAAATTCTAATTTGAATTTGATCTTGATGTAAAGAGAAGAGGATTGTGTTGATTAATTTCTTCCTTTTATTGCCTTGGTGATTTTGGCCACTTCATGTTTAGCATATAGTCTTGTGTTTTTTATTTAGTAAATTACACGTGTTGATGTTGCATAATCTTGTGATGTTAACACTTATGTTATTGAGTAGTTTGATATAATCTTGTGGTTGTTCACTTTATTGCTTTGGCTATGGAATTTGAAAGGAAAATTTGAGTGATTCACTTGGCTAATTTTTTCACTAATTAGTTAATTAAACTAGGGACTTTAATCTAAGATTTAAGAAAATTAGCTAATTAGGTTAATTGGCTTAAGATAGTCTTCTTAGGTCAAAACAACTTTGATCAAGAAGAAAGGAAGGCTTAATTTAGCCTAATCACATAATGATTCTAAAAT